GAGAGCAGAACCCAGTAGGGTCAGAGCATGGGTTGATGCCACAGTCTGAGGAGCAGGTAAGGGAGCTGTCAGACAGACAGGCTCGAGGCACAGGGCTTGTCTGCCACATTTGCAGCACCTCTGGAGGCAGGCACATCCATGATACACAGAGTTGGGAATAGGAGAATCTACTCATTCAGGTGTCTGCTCTGTGTCTGGACAAGACAATCTGTGCCATGACATTTGAATCATGACAAAACAGAGCCACCAGTGAGACATTGTCTGTCTTTTATTACCGCTGGTACAAAGAATAATCTTACTCTAAAACGATAGCCCTTGAAGCTTTTAAAAGTGTTTAATTCCTGTTTAAGTGGAAAACATGTCATTTTTTTCTGTTCCTTGTGCTAGTATTTGATTGCATTGTCCACATCTCTGTGTAATTTGTCTAATTTATCCCATTGCATGGAAATAGAAAATAATAGTGCCCTAGGAAAGGCACCCTTATCACAAATGAAAATATGTTGAAGGGATATGTTCAAATCATACAGCATGCAAATCATAACCACATTACCAATTAAAGATGGAAAAAAAAAAGGAATTTGTCATAAACAAAGTGCTTTTATTACTTGGATTATACTATTGTGTAGCTCCAAATAACACTTAGTCCCCTGTGATACATATCATAGTCTACCTGAGCTCAGAATTGGGAAACTGCTATTATTTACTGAGAAAAATATTGGCATATGTTTTTCCAAAACATATTTTCTGACCTTCAAGTACCAAAAGTCCACAGAGAAGTACCCTGACAACTTCAAGAACAGCAGACAAATAGAGGGTGTTTAGCATCCGTTACTAATCTCTTGTTTTTCAAAAGAAAAAATATTCAAACCCAAACCCAGTCTGACCAAATCTATCTCTAACTTACTTGGTTTGTGTGACAGTTTAAAATGAAGCTTAAGATAAGGGGATTAACATATACTATGGGATCAGATGCTGGTCCAAACCCTTTGCTGGATTCAACTGGGGAGAATTCTCTTTTCTATTACAGGAAACTATTTGGCGTCAATTGTTTCCTTTACAACTTTTAAATAGACCCATTGTCTCCAAGGCTTATCAGGGAGAGATTTAAACAAGCAAACTTCACCATATGTTCTGCACATGCAGGAAACAAAATATGAAAGAGTATATTTTTTATTTCTTATTTTAATCTCAATGAACTGATCATTACTAGATAACCATAGGAATACATTAGATATGAAATCACCAGAGGGAAAGAACCACATTTTTTAAGCTGTGTAAGAGTGGGAGTAAAAACATAAATTATTTATCTGAAGATCACTGAAAATTTGAAGAACTTATATTTTCACAGTTCCTGGAGAAACATATTAGTATTTTTAAAAATAGTCTCCAAGATTTGTATTCCCTGCTGGTATGGCTGCCTTATTCCAATACGAGCACTGTATTTTCTCTAAAAAAAGTCTGACAAGTTCCATTATTATGTTGTCATTTTTCTTTCTCCTAAAGAGAAGCAGACATGGCATTACTTGATTTTAATATGAATAAACTATCTTCTTTTTGACAGTAGGCTAGCTGGTGTCAGGGGTTCAAGAAACTTACCTGGTTAGTGGAACAAGGCTGAGAATTGAAGCTACATTAGCTCAAAAGTTTCTGAAGTGTTTCACTAGAGAAGTCTGCCCTCTGATTTATGACTTCTCTGCATGTAAATTTTTAAGTGGTCTGATCACTAGTGTGCATAAATAAACATGAGCCTGTGGAGGGCTCATTTTGTTCAAAACAAGTGTAGTTTGGTTATTCGGTCCTTGAAATGTTTCAAGCAGACAAAGTGACTGCACACCCAGGTCAAATGTTGTGGTTGCTCTTCCATGAGCAGACAACCCAAATTCGGGAGCTAAAAGGAGATGTACATTGCAATTAAGAAAAACCAAGATTTTTTTGCTTGTTGGGCCTTAAATTGGAGGCCTTTGAGTATCACTATGCATAAAATGGTCCTTAGAAGAAAAATACTTACAGACAAAAAACAAGGGAAGACCAGAGCAGTCTTTAAATGTAATTTGGAAAAGGCAAAAATGGAGGAATTCCTTCCAAAACTCCACTGTGTGGGCAGGTATTTCTTTCTTCTCAAATCATTTCTGGCTAAGAGTTGTCCTTGTCTTTCTTGAGGAAGAAAAAAACCAAAACAAAACCAAAAAACCAATCAAAAAACCAAACCTGTGCTGAGATCTTAATAATTTAAAAAAAAATACTACATACATGAGCCATCAATAAATCAGCAGTCATTTGAGCTGTGCACATTAACTTCCTCTTGGCACACTCCAACCTACAGCAGGGGTTTCCTCTTACATCACTGTGCCTGCAGTCTTCTTCCCTGGTGCAAATTAGCATGGTACGGGACATTTCACTGGATAACTGACTTAAACATTTCTGGATTTAGGGAAGTTAGAATGCTGTGGCATGACCACACTCCTGCTCCAGGACTGTAGACAAGATGACTTCATTCTTGGTTGCCTTCTTAGCCATTTCTGTGCCCAAGGAATACTTACTGCTGCAGGGTTTGTAATTCTCTACAGAGATGTTTCATCTTTTGACTTGAAACATGCTGTATATTTCCATCCACTGGCTCATCTCTTTCCATCCCTTTTCTGTCCTGGTCTGGCTGGGAGGTCCTTTCATCAGTGGTGCAGCATTCACTTTATTTTATACGTAGAAAATATAATTTTAAAGCAGTTTTTGTTTAATTGCATTAGTCTACTCCAATGCCAATATGTCTTCCTACCTAATACCTCTGATGTTCAAATATGGTATGAAGCATAGGAAACATAACACGAATTATTCTGTTTTAGAAGATGGACTGCAATGTGGATTTTCTCCAAAGGGAGATGTTTCAAGCAAGTTAATTTACTGATACTGCCGTAAATACACTGAAGGCAATGGAGCTGCACTGATTAACTATGCCTGCTAAAGCTCAGACTGACGTCCATGCTACCATTAGTTGTGTAATTATTACCCAAGAAGGGTTTCAGAGGATATTTTTTATGACACTGCTGGAGAACTTTCTATTACAGAATGCTAGCAAAACAGTATCTGAAAGCAGGTATTTTAATGTTCTTGCCCACTTGTAACTGGCTTAACACTGTAGACACTCTATTCTGCCTCAGAAATATGCTTTACTGCAAACTACTGACTGTTCCACAGATACTTTAAATCAAGTATTTAAATCTTCAGGAAAAGAAATCTGAAACTCAAATGATTTTGTTAATTTTATCTTGGCAATGCTGCAGAATGAAATGTATTTCTTTACACAAAGGACTGCAGCATCTGATGCACATCTGTTCTGCTCTGAAGAAAACAAAGCAGCTCCCTTTTCAGTGTGTTCATCTTTTTCATCGTTAAAGCAAATAATGAACAAAATCAGATAATCTAAGGCACGTGAAATTAGCATACTATTTAATCTTTCAGTTTAATATCTTGCCATCTGCATGCCTATGTGCTAGGCCTGTTTTTTATTTTATATAATAGGCTTCAAGTACTTGCAGTGAAGCTGCACTTCCTTGGGGCAGCTGGCACACCATTACCATGAATGCTGTGACCAAAACCTCCATCTCCTTCCACACACCAGAACAGACAGTTTTCTGGAAAAACACCATGGTCCTATAATGCTATTTAAATAAACAGAGAGGTGTGGTTGAAATTCTGGTATTATTCACACAAAATATTTTAATACATGTATTTCTTCTGTACCATCTTTTACTTCCTTTGTAGTTAAATTTACCTGCAGTCTCTTGCTAGCTCTTGCGTGCTTTAGCATCCATAAATGAGTTAATAATAAATCTCTTACCTCTGTTTCTTCATTTTGTAGGCATGCAAGCTATCTCTTTATAATTTATAATGAGTTCATATCTGACTTCACAGATTCTTAAATACCAGGAGGTCCAGGCAAATTTTAATTCAGACTGTGTGCAGGATAATAAAAATTTGCATCATCAGCATAACAAAAGTATTTTAATGAACATCTTAGTGCTGTTATTTGCAACACCTTTGATAATTTTGTATTTCTGAGAAAAGCAGGTGGGGAAGAGGGGGGGATTGGTTTTCTGCACATGATTTTGAGTGGTGCTGTAGCCATCTTGGGAAGTTTAGCTCCAAATGTAGGAGGCTGAATTTGCAACTTGTTTAAGGTGTGCTCACAGATGGCCAGTCCTGATTTGTAGCACTTCTACTAAGACAAGTGAGGAATCACAGACAGTAACACATGAAGTAGGAGCACACTGTAGATACCAAAATCAACATCCTGACAGCCTAAACATATGTATATATATGTATATGTCACATATAAAATATTAGCTATTAAAGCAACAGGACACACTGTGGTTGTGCTGTTTGTGCCAACTGATCTATCTTTGACTAAAAAAGTGATGTAACTAATGTCAATATAGAATGAGTTTCATATTTCCCTCCTTAGAATTTGATTTGATGTCCTGGTGGTGTTGAAACTTCAGAATGCTGTTGGAAATGTTAGATATTTCATTCATGTCTAATATACTAACCAAAGCTGCAAAATAACAAATGGCCAAGATAAAACATGAAAAGCATTTAATTTTTTTTTAAACTGAGAGTATCTTCCTATTTCCATTCCAATTCAATCTTTCATTAAATAAATATTACAGCTTTGTATAAGAAGTATTTATGCACAGTATTTGGAGGAAAACCAAAGTGAGTTCTGGTTGTAAATGGATTTCATCAGTTTAAAAAACAGTTGTAATCAAAGCACTAAAGTAAGCACAGGGAACATTTTTATACCATTCCTCAATACCAAAGTATTAGAAAAGAAACAAAATAGAATTAACCTTGGCAGTAAATTGTTTTCTACTTCAGCGTATTATTCAATCTTCAATTATCTTGTCAAGGAAGTGGCTGAAAATATTGTATCATGTCAAATATTTACCACCACAAGCCAGAGTATTACCACAATACAGAAACTAACTATATCCAGTATATCTAAATTGCAAGGCAAAGTATTTTTTATTTGCTTCACTGTCGTCCAGAGAGCAATTGCCCAACATGACTGCACTGCATTTGATAGTGCTCTTGAAAAGCAGGGCTTGAGAGGTGAAAGTGCATGAAGCAGTCCACACTAGGATTCTATGATTTTAAAGACTTGCTTTTATTTTCAATCACATACACACAGTAGTTATTCATGCAAAGAAATTTTTAAGTCTTGTGTCTTTTTGGTTCTTCCTTCTGAAAAAATATAATTAGTCCAGGATAGAGGACACAGGTAAGTAATTTCCTGAAATGACTATACTTTTCTGAAAAGTCTGGTGGTGGTTGGTGGTTCAGGAAGCAGAGAAGGGGATGGAGCTGCCAGACTCTTACACCACACTGCTGTAGAGAAACTGTGCGTTTAACTCCTTCTCACACCTGAAAAAATCAGTCACTATCAGTAAAATAGAAAAATGAGCCAAAACCACTTGAGCCGCTATTTTAGTTGTTTTACAGAAAATAATTACATTTAATCTCAGCAGTTAAGCAGTTTCTTTCTCCACCTCCATCTGTATATAAGGCTTGACCTTGATTCTGACCCTGTTCAGCCAAATCTCCTCAGACAATGAAGGAAGAGTTTTTGCTTGAAGAAGGGATACAACCTTGGACCTGTGTGAGTGGTGTTAGCATAGGAGAATGTACACATGAGGTCTGAGGTGCAGAAATGACTGCAGCAAGTGCCTGAATTTCCCTTTCTTATTGAGGTTTTAACTCTATGCTGCTCTGGCATCTATGACTGAGATGAGTAGGAGACTAATGCATCACACCAATGAACTCTGCTCCTACAACATTTTTGTCCTGAAAGGGAAGGATGAGTTTTTAGTGTATCAAGAACACAGAGAGAAAGTGTTAAACTTTAAAGAGTATTTTATAGGATAAAAGTACACCTCCCATACTTTTATCCCCATCACATTAGTTGTTTGCTATTTTAAGTGCTGCTCAGTTGAGGAATAGTAATTTTCTTTCTCAGCCTTAGGAGCTGCCCGCCTTAGTCTTTTAAGTTTGAAACTCTCTCAATGGGTAGGTCAGAACTATATGAGTTAGTTAGAGAAGGGCTCCCACAGGCAAACCATAGGCTAGTTCTTAATCTGTGTGACAATAAACATTCTGGTTCACATTACTGAACCTCAGGGAAAACATCGTGTGCCAACTGTAGCAAAACCTACAATTTGAATTATTTGACATCAAAGGCCACAACCCCCAAAACAACAATTGTTCTCAGAGCCCTACACAGAATTAGAAGACGGTGGGACAACGCATTGGCCATCCCCAGCTTTCCAGTTTTCCCTACCCATGATGTGCATTCATATGTGTAGGTGTTTTAGGGGTAATCTCACACATGGTTACAAAGGCCTAACGCTCCAAAAGGACATGTGGTATTTAACCAACTTTTGACCTGAGCTGAAGGTGAAGTTCTGATTTGATATTATGAACAACCATTTGCCTTCAGGGAGACTGTTTACAATTACTGGGTGTTGTTTTGTTCTATTGTGCTCATTTAACTTGGTATTTCCTAGAAGAGTGATGACAGCCAGCACGGCTGTCAGATGTTTATTCATCAGTTAAAAATGCTGAACACAGCATCAACAACCAAATTGCTTATAGTTTCAGAGCTGTTTCAACCAGCTGCTCAGCAGTCAAGTAGCATGTCAGTTCATTAGTGTTTATTATCAGTTTATTAGCACAACTTGACTGAAATGATTGTCCTTCAGTCTTAACAACCTGCTGTATTTTCTTTCAACATAAAAACTGCTAAAAACATCCAATGCATTCTCACATAAACACTTGAGTAATTGCAAAAAAACTCCCACTCTGGTAGATTAGTTTGTTAATACTACTGAAGCAATTGTACTCTTCAATAGTTAAAAAGAATGGAAGGAAGAGAACATAAAATTTCCTCAGCATTGCAGTGACCTGGGGGCAAGTCTACACCCATATTTCAGTGTTATGTTGTAAGGAAAAAAAAAAAAAGCTATTGTGCCAAAATGTTTCCAGGGATATTTTCTCCAAACACCACATTAATTGAAATGAACTGCTGCCTATATGCAATGTCATTTACTTTCCTAACTTGCCTTCAAACATTTTAAGCATTGTGATATGACTTACTCACACACACACAGCACTTAAAGAAACACCTGACAGAAACTCACCACCTGAGACAGGCCTTACTGGATTCTGTTTTACTAAAAATTTGGTAAGGAAGTATTTTCCATTTAGCTTGTTGAATTAATTGCAATTTTTCATTTAGTTTCCATGTTGTTGTTGCTCTGACTGTTCTTCCTCCTAATGCTCTTCTGTGAAGAAAAAAACCAAAGTGCTCTTGTGTGCATTTATTATATTATGTAGTTGTTCTCTGTATATTAACTGTGTACCACCTATGACAGCAAATCAATGAAAATATGAATTCCTTGCATGCACTTCACTATGAAATGCAAACTCATTAGCTCCTCATAGCAAGATTGCAATGTTGATTCAGTAACATTTTTTTCTTTACTTGTCATACACCTCTTACAGGCAATGTAGCAGGAATTTGGATGTGATCATCATTTTAAATGGCTTCTCTGACATAGGGAAATGAGAGATGTGATAATTACTGAATGCTATTATCTTTAAGAGAACTCATTTCCTGAGCTGATGGAGTATCCCCTAATAAATAAAGGCACTAGAGCATAAAACAGAAGATTAAAAGCTGTATCACTTGGCAAGATGCATGGTTTTTTAAATGTCATAATGTTTGCTCTGTGTGGGAGCATCAGCTTCAGTTGTATAGAGCTAAATGAAAGTTTAGCCTAAAACAGTATTACTCACAGTGGTCATGTATGATTTCTTTCAGTCTGCCACTTCTGACTGCCTCCACTGCTAAAGAATTTGTTATAGAGGTAAGGACTAATTAATATATGACAAGGTTGATTTCTGTGGTTTGGTGGTACTGGTGAGACCCCACCTGGAGTACTGCATCCAGCATGGGAGTCCTCAGCACAGAAAAGACATGGACCTGTTGGAGTGGGTCCAGAGGAGGCTGTGAAGATGATCAGAGGGTTAGAGCACATCCTGTGTGAGGACAAGCTGAGAGAATTGGGGCTGTTCAGTGTGGAGAAGGCTCCAGGGAGACCTTATAGCACCTTCCAGTACCCAAAGGGGCTACAAAAGAGCTGGAGATGGGCTTTTTACAAGGTAGTATTGTGGAAGGACAAGGGGGAATGGCTTTAAACTGAAAAAGGGCAGGTTTAGATTAGATATTAGGAAGAAATTGTGAGGGTGGTGAGGCACTGGCACAGGTTGCTCAGAGAGGGTGTGGATGCCTCATCCCTGTGAGCGTTCAAAGCCAAGCTGGATGGGGCTCTGAGCAACCTGGTCTAGTGGAAGATGGCCCTGCCCATGGCTGGGGGGTTGGTCACTAGGTGATCTTTAAGGTCCTTTCCAACCCAAACCATTTCCTGAATCTGTGATCTTGTTTATAATATTAACAGAAATTGAAGGAAGGCATACTTATGGTATGGTTCAGAGAATGCCTTTCCGTTAAAGTGGACATAAAAATGAAAAAAACCAACACAACAGATAGAGCAGAGATTTGAAAGCAATTTCCCAATATGACAGTGTTGGCCAATTGTACTGCTGTCTAAAGGCTGAGCTCTCTAAAGGGAAGATAAATACGCTAATGTGTATTTGGATGTATCTTTGAATGCTCCGTTGGAAGAATTTGTCACTATAAAATTTCAAATTGGTCACAGACCAGACAGGTGAAAAGTCATAAAAGGTAATCATCTAAATTCTTTGTGGTCTTTTACATCCAGAACTCCAAGTAGTTTTGAAGAGATAGATGGTGGCCAAAAGTACCCACATACCCAATTGGCTTAGCACCACTGTCATCTACCCCTCAGTTCTGCTCACTTGACCATATTTCTTGTTATCCCCTGTGCTACAGGGAGCCATTTACAGACATTCATTATTGGAAAACAAAGAAAAATAACAAAAACTTACTGATAACGTAGAATTATGCTTTGTCCATAATTCTGGAGCATCCAAGAAACGCTCCAGACCACACGATGAACTGACTCCCGAGTCAGTCTGGCTGGAGAAGAAACACAACAAGCAGATGATTTACAGGCTGAAGCGTTGGCTGAATGTTGCCCTTGCCGGAGCCTTGAGCACATTTCTGCCTTTAGGTGTCACTCTTCACCTGTACCGTGCATGCTCCTTGCTGAAGGGACCTCTGTCTGTGTCACACAAGCTGAGTGAAGAAAAATTCCAGGGCTGCCGTGTTGCTACAGCTCTGCAACACCACATTCAGAGGAGCAAGATGAGCGCAGCATAACCTGAGGTAAGGGATCTGACCTAACACGGAGCAGAAGCTGGGATAACCAGGATTGTCTTCCTGGCTTAAAAAAAAACCTCTTTGCACTGCACACTCTGATTTTTTAATTTTTTTTTTCCTCCCCACTAACTGGATGATCCCATGAATTGGTCACAACGCTGTGCAAATTTGATGTACAATCACAGTCCTGCTGGATTTTGTGCTACATAACAGTGGTAGTGAATTCTTGCAGCACATGTGAGTGTTTGCCTTTGTGCTAAATGCTTAGAAAACCTACGATAAAACTGACAGACAGCATGGTCATGCTGTCAATTTGTTCATGCTAGTAATTATGGCCAAAAAAAGGAAATTAAAACTTCCTTCGTATATTTCAGAAATCACGTGACAATGTTGGCAAATGAATTAATTTAGCAGTACACGCAGTAATTTTATTGCCATGTTCACTAGCCCTGCCTTGCGCTTGTGACACAATATCAGAAAGCTGAAATTGGTGAGTACAACTGTGCTGACCAGCATTCTCCCACCGACCCACCTGCAGCCAGCAGCACGGTATTGTGTTGTAGCGTTGTTCCAGATGTTATTTTTTCTCCTTTCCGGTGAAAAAAAGATGGGAGGTCTGCACATGGCCAAAAATAAGCGTTTTCCTTTATGCAAAGAATCATTATCATCCTTCAGCTAACTGACAGTTCAGAAAGACATACACTAAAAATTTCGGGGTATTCCTGCTGTGAGAACACGGGTATGCATTCTGGCCTGTTACATGGAATTAGGCTTTTGAAAAAGAATTTGGACAGTGTTTTGGCTGCTTGGAGCTCTGAAATGCAGTAGTATTAGGTTTGACTCCTGGAGTGTTTCTCATAATGTTCATTGATTTTAAAACCAGAGCTTCATCCTTCAGTCCACTCAGTGACATGCTTCAATTTTACTTTCAATTTTACTGAAGGGAGCTTTTGGACATACTCTGAATTTTTCTGTGCTCAAACCCTGTTAAGTCTGAATTGAGGCTGATGTTAAGTGTCTCCATTCTCCCTGAGCACCTACATCCACAAATCTTTCCCTGAAAGACAGACTGCTCCCTCTGGAAAACAGTTGTGGGGAGGGCACATTTAACAGCACCCTGTGATAACATACCTCCAGGACTTTTACTATTAGGGCACTTTTTTTGGTAATTACTCATATTAAAAAACACCCACACAACAAAAAAACCCAACAAAACAAAACAAACCAAAAAAAAACCCCAAAAAATGAACCTTTATTCTAGCTGTGATTTAACATTCTGATGAGACATTTTAAACATATCCTTTTCCTTCTAAGATGGTGCAACTGAACTAAAAAGGTTGAATATCATCTAGATAATTCTGAGGACAGATCTTTCAAAGTATGGGCATAAACATATTTTCCAAGATAAAAAATTCCAGAGGTAATGTTTCTGAACATTTGTTGATGGCAAATCAGGACTTAAAGATGTTTTCATAGCATCTGCCATCAATTTCTTTTTCTTAACAACTTAATTTTGTAACATCAGACATGTCTTTACCTAGCTAGGGCTAACAGCAGAAAGGGGTCATTGTACAGCTTTTTACCTCATCCACACTTTAAACCATCAATTGTTCTGGAAAACGAAGGAGTATTTGGTGCAGCAGTTACTTCTTTGTAATTTCTGCCTCGTAAGTTTGTAAGTATCAAAGATAATTTCCCTTATTCTCCAATGACAGATATGAAGTAGAGACGGGAATAATTTCACACATTTTAAATTTAGCCTGGAGGAATGTTAAATGCCCCCATTGTTAGTGCCAAGCTTATGATGCAAGAAAGGCTAAAATCTTCCAGACAGCAACAGCCAGCCGTTCCCCATAATGGGACTTACTTAACAAAAGCCCCAGTCTATCCATTAAATAGACATATTCAGAAAGAGAGCTCTTTTATCAAGCACCCTAATTTCTATTTCATATATAAGTACTCCAGGAATGTGGACAGAACATCATATGGAAGCACCAAGAGACAAACAACACTTACTGCTTCCCAGCAGTCAATTTCAAAATAAGACAAATACATAGGAAATTGGTATTAATTTAATTAATTAATTAATTTCCTCCCTGGCTCCTTACTGACAATCATGTTTTCTTGGAGGCAGAGCAGTTTTGCAGTTCAGGCTCCAAGCTGTACCGTTAACAGAAAGGTTGGGAAAGTGTGTTGAAAAGCAACATAATGCCAGTCTCTATCTACGTGTACTTGAACCCCAGCCACAGGGTAGTGAATGAAGCCTGCAGAATTGTTGCTTTCTAAGCACCAGAACAAACATAGAAACAGTAAACCCTGAACAGCCTTCAGCAGAAGGTTCCACAAGAGAAGCAAAACTTGAACTCTGTCACCAAACCAGAAAGCGAGTCCCACACAGGGATTACAACAGCCATAGGTACTGTGAGGGGCCTGTGGGCTGGACTCAGTGCATCCAAACAGGCCTCACAGCACCATAGGAAATGTTCATCAGCTCGAGCACAAGGTTGTTCACTGACCTTCATCCCATTCATTTGCCTCCAGCAGAGAGGGAGTTTTGCAGAGGCACCCGGATCTCCTTCCGCACAGACGAGTCCATTGATCCGCTGCAGCTCATCAGCGTCCCACATGTACGGCCTCTCACCATGCAGGAGATGTTCAGGCCAGCACACAAGCTGACTGAAGAAAAATTCCAAGGCTGCTATGATGCTGTGAAAGGTACTTCCCCTTGAATATCAAGGAGCATTGCAGGAGACATTCCTGTTCATATACAACGTCGGATTTTCTGGAATTTAGGACTCTGGGTTACGTGGAAGCTAAATCCCAGATACAGCTTCAGATCTGGATTAAATTATGTGTACCGCATGTTTAGTGACATAAATCACACATTTTGACTCCTGAAAAAGGCAAACCTCTCAAAAAAGAGGGCTCTTCAACTCTCTCAAAAGGTACCCCATAAAACTAAAAAGCTGGTCCCTATAAGAAATGGGTCCCCTTATTTTACGATAAGAATCAAAAAGTCAAAATTCTCTAGCCACTGGAAATCAGAGGTTTCTATTATATGTTGTAGCTTGGCCAATCTCTGCATATACAAGCTGGGAGAAAAAAAGACCTTGAAAATTGTCTTTTTGTTTTAGCTAGTCAGAGCAAACAAATCTTGCTTTTTTTTAGCAAGTCTTTTTTTTAGCAAGTCAGCTGTGTGTAGTATGCTTAAAATGACATTTAAGTACAAACAGCTCTAAGAACTTCTTTTTTTTACAGTGCTTACAAGTGCTTTAATTCATTCTTTTCTATAGGTCCCCCCTTGAAATTGTTTGGACAGAAGGCTGATCGTGATTTTAATTTTCATCCCTACACATGATAAATTCAAATATAAAAATGTCCTTTGTGTATTATGCTTTGACTTGCTGGGAAATATTATGGACATAGATAGCTTGTGCAAGAATTGAAAAAAACCAGCAATGTTTCCCAAAAAGATAGCACCTCTCTCCTATTTGTTCTTTTTTTCACCTAGAGTGAAGTGTGTTCAACTTTGTGAAAAATGAGTCACCAAACAGTAACTCTGCAGTTGGCATGGTGGTTTGGGGGTTATGATTTTTTGTTTGGTTTTTTTAATGGGTTTGTTGTTTTTGGCTTGATTTTGTTTAAAATTTTTTTAATGGAGAGAGAGATGGTAGAAGGACTAGCTTTTACTTGACAGATTTCCTTCATTCTGTCCAGTCATGTGGTCATTCTCCCCCCACCCCCAATATTTTTTACTCAGTCAACCAGAGGAACAGACTCTAAAGCTACTTAAAGACAAAAAGTCTGAATCTCGTGTGTCTTAAGATACCTTTATATTTATGTAGCGCTGTAAATGCTTCTTAAATGAAGCCCATCAGAAGGCGCTGAATTACCGAATTTAGTAATCCTGGCAACGTCCACATGTTTACAGCTTTATCTGTGTCCCCTAGAGAGGGCTGAAGGAAAAGAAACAAGAAGCCAGGAGAGCTGTAGGAGCATACTTTGTATCTTCTTCATTGATACCCTTCATGCCATTCAAATAGGACTCCGGAATACACTACTTTAATTAGCAAAGCTTGTTTTGAAGTAAACAACACAAACACTCCTTATAGGACAGTCACAGTCTCCCCTGCTAGACATACAGGCTTTTTGGCAAGATCACATTCAAACAGCATGAAATTCACCCCTGTGCACGGCCCCCAGAAGGCCCTTGCACCATTTTAACTTCCATTTAGCTGCTCTGGATAGGAGCAAGTGGTTTGTGGGATAAGGACGGAGGTTCACTACAATTTTCCTCCAAAAAAAAAGATGGTCCAAATCCACATCCGTAAAGATCAGCAGTTTTACCACTATAAGGTCATAAAGGTGTAATATAGGCGTCATGCATAGAGTACATACCATGTTTCAACTGAGTCCTGTCCCTGCATGACTTTGAGCCCCAGTGAAAGTACAGATCCACCACAACGCGCCCGCAATTAAGCCCTCAGTCATTATATTTGCTGCGTTGTGCTGTTTACTGGGAACACTGCAAAGTCATTCAACTGACAGGAGTCAAGACAGCAGTGAGAAGAGTATCCTCATGAGGAAGCTCTGACAGGATTCCTTTGGACACATGGGAGAACATGAGAGTCCCATCTTAGTTCAGTAATTGCTAAACAAACAGAAATTGGAAATCATTAATGTGACATTGACCCATAAAACACTGATCACTGAGGCCCTGTTGTCCCCTGTGGAACAGGGAACAACAGATGGTCAAAGTAAACAGGGTAAGAACAAAACAATATGGAAATAATGTTGGTTCCTTAACAAATCTCTTACTGTAGTCCATTTCTGCTGACTGACATCGGTTGTTCTTTTCAGCTATAACTGTGCAACAAAATCGGACATGTCTCATCTTCCAGTCTTGATACTGAGCTGTTGTTGATTTTCTTTTGTTGGTCGAGTTTTTTTGGTTTTCTTTTTTTTTCTTTTTTTTTTTTTTTTTTTTTTTTACAACTACGTTTATCAACACTGATACATTACAGATCTTGTTAGTTATACTTTGAAGTCTGATCATGCAGAACTACAGGCAGGTGCAACTTAGATCTTATTACAGGATGGACATGGCAAGGTGAACAGTTGTTTTTGCTAGTTAAGATCTGGAGCTTTGTTACTGTTGTGGCTTAATGTATACTGGCCATAAGTCCCACTTACCCAATTTACTAAATATACATGATTCTATATGTACACTGAAACTTCCAGCACCCTCCTTTATCAGCATGTGACTGACTTAGGAGAAGGTCAGAGGTCAACCATATTTAGGCATACAGCGGCCTTATTGTAAAAGATTTTAACAGAAATAGCATGTTGGATTATTACATATTAGTTACAGAGGAAGGGAAAAAAAATCAATACAACTATTTACATTATAAATATCTTGCTTTCCAGAAGACAAGAATGGCCCTGTTCAGTGAAAATTAGCAAAAGAGACCTGTCTGAAATGATAAGCATGGTAGGGATACATTTATTTCCCAAATTGACTGTGTCTTACTTCAATATGTGCTTTTCAGCTTTTCCCTCTCAAGTAAAAAGGCACCATTAGCCTCAGTTGAAGTTTTTCAACATTCTTTTGTCAAATCAAACCCTCTTTAAAACTCAAACTTGCCATGGGTCAATGAGCCTGAACATGCATTAAGTTAAACATTTCACCTCTTGCAATCAATAGTTAATTAAAAAAAAACCAAACCAACAACAAAAAAAGAAAAAAAAAATCAGACCACATTGGCAAGTTCCTAATACATCAAGAGAATTCCACTAAATTCCACTGGACAGGTCTGTTTTCCAGCTTATCAGTGAAGATGACACATTCACCATTCCCCTGCCTCCCCCAAGCATCTTACTAATTAAGACATTACATATTTGTATAATATTCAAACCTACTGCACAACAATTTTCTTTGTGTGTGTGTGAAAAAGATCACCTTGAGCTTGCAATTCACTGTGTCCTTTGCAAAGTGGTGGAAGTTCAAATAAGCACAGCCATCAGATTCTTGAAGATGTGTGGTTATATTACAACTACTCTCTTTATTCACACTGAGTAGAACAGAGGTTCTGAAAATCACATCCCTATGTACACCCTCTCTTTCCTACAGACACATACAGAAGCAAAGAAAAATAATAGCCTAAACAGAAAATGAACCATTAACTCAGACTTTTTTTTTTGCCAGACTATTAAAAAACCCCTCTAATTCTTCCCTGCAGGTGTTCTTTTGTATTGCTCTCCCTGGAAGCACAGAGTTTGTTGCAAAATGTCTTTTTTGTTTGGTTGGTTTTGCATGTTTGAATTCACACAAAATTTTAAAATCTCAATAAGCATGAAGAAAGAAATATAAATATACCTGAAATGAAAGAAATTTTTGATCTTTTGAAATACTATAAAGTTTGTAATATAAATAAGCTAACACTCATTATCAGAAGTTATTTTGAATTAAAATATTCCAATCACATTTCACAATAATTTCAGGATACTCAAAACACCTTTTTTTCTTTAATAAAAAATTTCGGAGATTTGCTGAAAATGACTTTATCAGGCAGTTCTAAAATTTGCTATTAGCACATTTTTCATGAGAAAATACGGAAAAGAATTGGAAAAGAAACCACTGGTGCTCACTGCCAAATATATAATACAATCTGAATCAGTTAAGTAGCACTACTTTAGAAAACTCCCTAAAGGCACTGCAACAGGTCTAATTTCTTCACTAGCATTAGCCCAAAGTTAGAAGGTAAAGCAACATATGTGAAGACAAAACCAAATTGGTTATAAGTTTGGAAGAGCGACATAGTGACATGATCATCTAGCTCATGTCACCACTGGCAGCCAATGTTGGGCAGGAACTGGGGATTTCCACAGGAAAACCATCAGTGCATTAGGGCTTGGAAAACCTGTTCAGGCTTTCTGCAGCTTTTGGTTGGTTGGTATTTTTAAACACATTACCACACTTGCACTCCAGTTTAAGCTCCGTTTCATGTAATGCATCTTGCTAAGATTCCTAAATCTATGCATGTCATGGAATTCTAGATAATAGGGGGGGATCATCAACCACAATGCAATTCCCATAAATCAGTGTGCGACCAACTCAAATATCTGAACTCTCTAAAGATTCATTACAATTTAATGGAATATAGTCAAACCTCACAACATACTATTCCAGTTACCAAGTCAGTATCTGAAGACTGTTTTCAAAAATTACCAAAAATTATGGATTGAAAACATGTATAACCTTGCATCAACTTGTAACAAATCAATACCTCATCCTCATTTAAACTCAGCAATGCAAAAGAAAATGGACAAAGGGTCTTTTACGAGCCATTCTGACTTTTTCCTTTCTTTTTGTTTCTCATCTATCCAGAAGTACTCCACCTGAAAATAAAGCAGGAATGTTTTGCAGCAACTTTCCTCTATACCTTCTCAATGCTATTTCTTGCAGCTAGCGCTCTGAGCAGCCATTGATAGTTAAAATGCTTCTGCCATTCTCCTCACCCAGCTCATAGCTACATACGTGGCTCAAGTAAGCCACTTGGGACAAAATTTCAGGCACTTAAGATATCAATAGGCTCTTGGGCATATTTTCAAAAATACCAAGGTGTCCAGCTGCCCTTCAGGACGATGCCACTTCTGGCACAGGCTTTCTGATTGCCTCCTTAGTGCCTAAATACCTTGGAACATCTGTCATAGATCTCTTGCTTCCCAATTTCCTTCGTCTCTGGAGTGGTGGCAATCATGCTTACAACTGTAAACCTCAGAGAATTAAGTGAAAATTGTTGCTCAAGTACCACATTTAGTAACATTTTAAACAGAAGTAGATTTTAAAGATCAATGGCAAAAATAAGAAAAGCATTTATTATTTTCAAGCTGAACAAAATGTTGGAGTAAAGGGGAACACACTTGAAGAGAAGGGTATCAAAACTTCTAGAATCAGAAAATAAAATTTGTTTCCCTTAAGACAGCCTCAGAACATCATCACTATAATCTTTAATTCAAAAGTACCTGCACTGTTATACTGTATCAGCTTGACAGCACCAAATCCCTGGCACAAAGCAAAACAAAGGATGCTATTCCTGCTTGATGGTCACTACTTCAGTTTGGACATACAAGGACCAGAATTGTAAAGAACTAATGCTTTTCTTCATTGATGGCTT